TTTTCAAATCAGTGAAATTACTTTTATTATTATTATTGCTTTTTTGTAGTTAAATTTGGCAATATCGAATATTTTCGGTCGCATTCCTTTCGCTGTTGCAGATCCGTTTGCCAAACTATATGTATAAATTCCCAATCTAGCAGTATACATTTGATTGCCAAAATTCTGTGTGTAAACAAATTTTCATTGGTGATACCAAACACCAGTCCTTAATTTGGCCCTTTACCAGATTTCTTATTACCAACAGTACAGATGTCACAAAAAAAAGTTACGTGCTACTCATCTGTTTACCTCAATAAACTTCAAAAGAGATTACATATTTGGTGGACTGCGAATACACAGCATTCGCCAGGTGTACACCTGGTTCGTAGTTAATGACAAAGTACCTTCACAGTGTTCTGTGAGTTTTTGGAAAAACATGTCATGGGGGCATGGTATAGATTTAAATTCTCTTTTTTCTTCTGTAGGGGCTATAATTTGCCAACATCACCACTGGTACAGTCTCAGACATGAAAGTCTATCAGCTATGAAGTCAGTACTACAAGCACAAAATTTTAAGATCATTTCCATTTTTTTTTTTTCGTTCTCTAGAATATAATTTCAAAATCCTCTATCTTAGTAAGGGGCAATTTAGGACCCATGTTTATTTTTTTCATGCTGTATTTTGATCTACTTTATGCTGTAGCAATACAGATATGTTTTGCTGAAACGACCACTATACGCACTTTGTTAGGGGATGAAGTAAACATGACCACTGACTTTATTTATTATAATTTTTAACATCTCTGATTTTTTTTATCAATCCGCCTCGATGTTCAGCTCTAAACTGTCATGCGTAAGCGAGCGCAAATAATTTTTATACAACTATCACCGAACCATCTGCCCAAACAGCGATATAAAATCGATCAAACATCACGATGTAAATATCGACTATCGACTTTTGTACAGCATCGATGGCTCGTACCAATCTTCTAATTCCAGCTGTAGCGATCAGCTGACCAACGCTAGTGATCCGATTGGTTGGTTCTTATATATTGAACTTTATTTTAAGAAGTGACCTTGAATTAAGAAAACGACCATAACCTCAATATATTTAGTCATTTATGCAAAAATGAACTGATTTGGATACTTACTGCAATGTCATCATTAGGCGCTCCTCTGCCGATGTCCGATTGCGTTCAGGTGACTTCTGCAGGTACCTCTTCAACAAGGTCAGGAGTTGATACCAGCGCGGCTTTTCGTTTTTTTTGCTCTAGGCATGGCCATCCTCAATTAATCGCACAAAAAACAAGTCCAAGGCAGAAAAACACACCCGAAGACGAACACCAAAACAAATCTCTACCGGAAATTCGTCAACAACTCAAACAAAAACAACAGATGAGTCACCGCCTGGCTTTCTCGGTAAATCGTCGTGGATCACGAGACACCACAGAATTATTATAATTACGTCAATACGAGCGTAGAACAGTATGGAAAGGGCTATCCAAGGGTAAGACGAGTTCCGAAACCACCCGAATCATGTCAAAAAATGGGTGTGACGTCACCAAAACGTTTGACCACCACTGGAATCACTAGCTAGTTACCCTCTGGCGGCGTAACATGTGGAGGACACTGGCGTAAAAACAGCTGATCCTTAAATTCGGTTACGTTAAGTCGTGCATGAACCCGACATTATTCTCTCTAGTTTTCAATGGTCTTTGCCATCATCATCAGGAGCTGCAATGACATTGAGAGAAATTGTGCAAAATGAATTTTAAATTAACTTATGTGAGGTTTTTGCTATATATATATATAATTTATATATATGAGCAGTAGTCATTGCCAAAGCCAACGACTAGTTGAGTACAAAATACAAGTACTTCTCTATGGAGCCATCATCAGGATTCTGAAAACACAATTGTGATGCTAGCAAAGAAAACAGGACAGATTTAAAATGTCAGTCAACTTACTCGTCGGTGAGGTTGCAGCCACAAGGTGTTTCAGAAAGAACGTAGAGATCGAACTTGTGATCAGTATAAAAACAAAAGGACGGGCACATTGGGCTTGTTAAAAAACGACAGATACCTTCGTTAAAAGTTAAGAAAAAATACAAATTATATCAATACACAAGTTAAAAATATTACACGTGGGGAGAAATTTTGTTGAAACAATCGGAATGCAGTCCCTAACCTTCTACTACCGCTACACGTGGAGAGGGGGAAGGCACGGAACGATAAAGCGTCGACAGATGACAAGTGATTGACGCGTCGGACCGTGGCGATGTACACCTCCCTGTCCAACTTTGGATATGAAGTATACGAGGGACGCTCGGTAGATCTCCACCCAGAATTACTAAAATGCTGAAATAACTTGTTTTGGAAAAAAGTTTGTGGTTCATATGAGTGCAAGAATGTGTGATATTGATACAACCTTGAAAAGATGAGTTATGTGAGTTTATATTAAAAATGTGAGTGAGAAAATGTATTCTAATTTTGTGAAGATGTTGGATCAATTTGGACATGTAGCCGTTCTAGCTTTTCGCAATTCAACAGGTAGGAATAAATGACACTGAGCTGCTTAACATCAGCCTTTTTATTCATGCAATGATCTGTCATGAAAATGTGGGACATTTCTAAAAATAAACGTTTTGAGAGTCTTTTTTCTTTATCAAGAACATCAATACTGCCATAATTCATCGAGTGACCTGTGTTGTTAATATGCGACGCCAAAGCACATCTTTCTGGATGTAATCTGGCATCACTTTTGTGTGACGTTATCCTGCCTTTCAGCGACCTAGAAGTTTGGACAACAAACTGTTGACTGTGAGAACTGATTTACAAGCAAAACGACAATTAAAGGGATTATACAGCCTGATCAATTTTGGTGTTAGTTCTTTGATGTATGGCAAAACAACATAGTTAACTCAGGAAATAGGAGCAACCACTGTAGTGCTGTTGTTCTCATTAGTTGAAGAATTAATGGGTATCTGGTTGGATTGATCCGTGTTGTCATTTTCACTATTGTTATTAGTGATTGGCAAAATATTCGGAGGAGAGCTGAACAGGATTCTGTTAACCAAATACTTAGGATAGCCGTTGTTGATAAATAAGACTGAAAGCTTCCTTAAATTGGAAAGATGGAAAGTACTGTCAGAGATTTTTATAACCCTGTTCTTCATTTGTTTCACCAGGTTTATTTTTATTTTAAGTTCATGGTAAGCCCTGAAGTTCAGGAACCTTCCTGAAGAAATTGGTTTCCTGTACCAGTCTACCAGTATTATATTGTCATTGGTACGAATCAATCTTGAATCCAAAAAGGGAACAGATTGATTGTCATCTTCTTTTTCGATGGTGAACTGGATGTAAGGATCATAACTGTTAAAAACCTCAACAATATCATCCACCCTATCATAAGGAAGACAAACGATTATATCGTCCACATACTTTTTAATGAAAATTAGATTGTATGGCAATACTTGAATAACAACGTCAAGCAGGTCATCCATTACATATTCTGCCAAAATTGGAGATAAAACAGAGCCCATGGGGCAGCCATGTGTTTGTGAAAACACTTTGTTATTAAAGGTAAAGTAATTGTTCTGGAAAAGGTACTCTACGATATTGATGAAAGAATCCAGAGTTAGGTTGCTGTGTTGGCAAATTAGATCCCAATGTTTGCATCAGATCTACCGAGCGTCCCTGCAGTTATTTCAGCATTTTAGTAATTCTGGGTGGAGATCTACCGAGTGTCCCTCGTATACTTCATATCCAAAGTTGGACAGGGAGGTGTACATCGCCACGGTCCGTCGCGTCAATCACTTGTCATCTGTCGACGCTTTATCGTTCCGTGCCTTCCCCCTCTCCACGTGTAGCGGTAGTAGAAGGTTAGGGACTGCATTCCGATGGTTTCAACAAAATGTCTCCCCACGTGTATATTTTTAACTTGTTCGGGTGTATTGATATAATTTTTATTTTTTCTTAACTTTTAACGAAGGTATCTGTCGTTTTTTAACAAGCCCAATGTCCCCGTCCTTTTGTTTTTATACTGATCACAAGTTCGATCTTCTCTACGTTCTTTCTGAAACACCTTGTGGCTGCAACCTCACCGACGAGTAAGTTGTCTGACATTTTAAATCTGTCCTATTTTCTTTGCTAGCATCACAATTGTGTTTTCAGAATCCTGATGATGGCTCCATAGATAATGCCGAAAGCTTGATTTTATCGTCAAAAGAGTCAACTTAAGCCTAAAAGTTTTGCCAATTTCCCAATTAACAAGTAATTGTAATTTATATATATATATATATATATATATATATATATATATATGTATTTTTAGTCTTAAGTTATTTATACATGAGCTCATGCCCAAGCACAAGTTTCTGCGAAACTTTTTTGGGTCCATTCGTTTATTGTATAATATTGTCTCTTATCTACTACTGCTATACTTTTCCCTTTTAGCAATCATCGTTTTTATTATTTATTATGTATATTGAGCATGTTTACGATGCGATATCGCATCTTGAGCAGCTGTGGGTTACACTTAGGATAAATGATCGTGACTTTGCAATTGGTGTAATGTATCGACCACCAGCTCAAAGTTTACCTGATTGTGTAGCAGCTCTAGATATTATTTTATCAGCCATTTTGACTAGCTTTTAGCTTTTTAGAGATTCTTATGATGGGAGATGTCAATGTTAATATGCTGTGTGACAATTTACTAAATCGATGCTTTACTGCTTATGGGTTCAAGTAACTGCTTAATGAACCAACCAGAGTAACAGCAAGTAGTTCGACATTGTTAGATCCAATTTTCATTTATATCTCTATTAATATCAGTGATTCTCCAGTTTTTTGTTCTAATTCTATATCACAAGCTTGTCTTTTGATTTTGCATGTCAGTAACAATAAAACTAGACAAAACTCATTACTTTCAGAGATTTTTAATTTTTTGTTGATGATGCTTTTATGGAAAATTTGGAAGCTAAGCATTTGATCAACATGTGTTACAAGGGGAATATTGATGATAAAGTAAAATAATTTACAAAAGCCCTGCTTGACGCATATGACATGCATGCCCCCTAGGATCAGTACGTGTGAGTGAACCTAAGGCACCTTGGCCCACATATTTCTTGCGCTTGATTATGATAGAAACATCTAAAACGTACACAGCTTATCTGGCAGACAGCACCGAAGCTAATTTATTGTGTTTCAAGCAGATAAGGAATTTGGCATTGACATCAATTGGGTAAGAAAAAAAGCATATTTGAATTTTCTAAATCAACAAAAAAATTCTAAGACGCTGGAGTCAGAATTAAAAAGCATGAACGTGTAGGCATCAGGAAAAACAACTATACCTGACCAAGTTGATGACCCTTATAGTATTAACCAATATTTATGACAGTTTACGACCCTGGCTTTATTCCAGATGATGTATACAAGTACTGCAATGATGATAAATTTTGTGAACATACATTTTCTTTTACCCTCTTAGAACCTAGTGAGATTTACTACATCATTAAATCTATCAAATCAGACGCAAAGAGTGCTGATTATTTGAGTATTTTGATGATCAAGCTCAGTTTGCCTCTAACGTTGTTGCTTATCACGCATATCATTAACAGTTGCCTTGACAACGGCTGTGGTATTTCGTATCTTGAAAATTGACATCATGGCGATTTTTTTTTGATATTTTATTAGTTTTTTGTGAAATTTTTAATTTTTTTCTACAAGACGTTAACTTAGCACTAGCTGATAGACACGTTGTGAACTCGTTTTGTAGTTGTACGAGTCGCCTAAACGTCATGAGGCCTCAGTTATCAGCGCTTGGATCTGATGTGATGTAAAATCCGCTTCAGAGATGGCATTACTGGAGGTCTGAGCTGTAAGTTGTATGTGCTTATGATAATTCCATTGGATTCTTGTCTCAAATATACTAAGTTGAGATTCAAAAACTAGAAATTAGTTGCGCATTCACTTTTTCTTACCCATTCTGGAAATTACAGTGAAAGCTCTCCTTGCGGACAGCTCCTATAAGCGGACATCTCTTTTAACCGGACAAAGTTCCTGGAACCAAATTCAGCCATCAATGTTCAATGATAAATGCATTCCGATAAACGGACGCTCTTATAAACGGACGCGGACACTAGATTTTCCTGCATGTGATCAAAAAATCTCTCATAAGCGGACGCGAAACTCTAATACCCGGACGATTTTTTAGTTCCGCTTATTGCAATGCACATATCTACATACATAAAATTCGGTAATTCCCCGATTTATATTAGGTGATTCCCCATTTATGCATTTCGTTGGGTAGCCTGTATGTAATCTTGTGGCTTGTCTTCAGTTCAGGCAAATTCGTAGTTGATTGAGTTACGTATTTTATTATTGTAACTGTAAAATGGCACCAAAAAAAAGGATGCTCTCGTTAAAGGAAAAGTTGTTAACGTATTAGACAGAGAAAGTGTTTCAGTTCGTCATTTGGCAAAGAGGTTTAATATTGGGAAAACGCAAGCAGCTGAAATTGCCAAAAATAAGGAAGATATCAGGAGTAAATGGCAATCAGGAACTAATATAAATCAAAAGAAGGATTTTTTAAAAAAGGAAGGTTTTGCTATAGACAAAACATGTTTTGAGTGGTTTGTGAAAGCTAGAAGTCAGAACATTCCAATCTCAGGGCCGTTAGTGAAAATGAAAGCTAAAGAAATCGCCACTACTTTGGGCTATAATAATTTCAGTGCGTCCGACGGGTGGCTGCAAAAGTGGCGCAAGAGACATAGTGTGAGTTGAATGCATATCTGGCGAAGCTGCTGCAGTAGATCAAGTTGATGTGTCACAATTTTTGGAGAAACTTCCGTCCATGTTGCTTGGCTACAAACCAGAAGATGTGTACAACGCAGATGAGAGTGGACTTTTTTTTCGCGCATTGCCCGACAAAACTCTGTCCTTTAAAGGAGAAACATGTGTGGGTGGAAAGTTGTCTAAAGATAGACTAACCATTTTATTCTGTGCAAATATGGCCGGTGAAAAATGCGATTTGATTGTGATCGGGAAAGCGGCTCGTCCTCGTGCTTTAAAAAACGTTGCTATTAAGGATCTACCAGCGACTTGGAAATCCAACAAAAAGGCATGGATGACCCGAGAAATCATGTCTGAGTGGTTAGTCGAATTCGGCCGGAAAATGAGAATCCAAAAAAGGCAAGTTCTTTTATTTTTAGACAATGCATGCTCTCATCCTCGTGATATGAAAATGAAAAATGTGAAAATTATATTTTCACCGCCAAACACAACTTCTGTTTGTCAGCCCATGGATCAAGGTGTCATACAGAACTTTAAATTTTATTATCGGCACTTGATTTTAAAACATATTTTAACAAAAATTGACGATGGTCAAAGCTTATCTGAGCTTACAAAGTCTATCAATGTGTTAGAAGCTTTGTATTTTATAAAAACAGCATGGAATAAAGTAAATTCCTCTACAATTAAAAACTGTTTTGGCAAAGCTGGATTCAGAAAAAGTGAATGTAGCTCAGAATTTGCTGAGCAAAATTATTGCGATGCTGAAGACGATCTGCCCTTAGCGACACTTGCTCAGTTACTGCGACATGCCAAACATTTAGGAGTAGCAGATCCCCAGAAAGTAGATGATTTCCTGGCCATAGACAATAACATAACAACAGAAGAAAATGCCATTGGCAACTTTTCGAATTTGGATGTAGAAAGCCCAGGCCAACTTGAATATGGTAGTCCAAACGACTCAGAAGAAGAAGTGGAACTGGTGGACTCACTAAGCGGTTCAAAAACGATAAATTCATATGGGGAAGCTCTAAATCATATTTCTATATTGAAAAAATTTGCTAAAGATGATTTCACTGCATTTCAACATTTGAAAAATTTAGAAAGTTATTACGAAAATTGTCTCCTTCAGCAAAAGATGGTGAAATTTCGTCAGACAAATATTTTAAACTTTTTTCAACAAGCTAAAGAATAATGTTTTTTTTAAATTCTCGTACCATGTATTGAAGCATTTATGTTTTTGTATGCGTATATGTACATATATTATATAGATATATAGCATAAATACATACTTTAAAAATGTGGCGAGTTTCTGTTTCATTTTTCTCATCATTATAATACCTCATTTACTCATGATTATATACCCCGTTATTTATACTCTATACTTACATACTCTCTTTTAAACGGACACCTCCCATAAGCGGACAAAAGTTACGGAACCATGAGTGTCCGCTTATGGGAGCTTTCACTGTACATATGTAAATTTGATGAATGTCAAAAATGAGAGAGATACGAAATAATTATATTATGTACACTGTCGAATTACAACTCATATATAGGGTGCGGCAGAGAGGGACGTTTTTGGGATTGGTAGGACTCTCCGCCTCCGTCTACGAGAGAGGAGGGGAGGGTGCCGTTTGACTCGTGAGATCCTAGCATTATTTTATTAGTTGTCGTTATGGAGCCTTGGACGGTGGAGCACCGCGTTTTCGCCTATGATTGTTTCGTCCGAAATAATGAGTCGGTCATCGTCGTACAGCGTGAGTTGCGTCGCCACTTCAACATTCATCGGAATAGAGCTGTTCGCTCTCGAAACACCATCCTTCGTTGGGATGAATCACTTCGCAGGGGTGGTGAACTGATCAACAGAAGACCAATTGGAGCGCCGCGAACAGTTCGAACTCCTGAAAATGTTGAACGCGTTCGACAGGTCTTTCTTCGCAGTCCGACTCGATCTGCCCGGAAACATGCTGCTGCACTTCGCCTTAATGATCGTTGGGGAAGGCGAATTTTGCATATGGATCTCCGCTTACACCCCTACAAATTGGCCATTGTGCAACAGTTACAGCCCGGAGATTATGCACAACGAAAGAACTTCGCACGTGAGATGGAAGCACTGATCGATCAAAATGAGAACCTCATTTTGTTTATGAGTGACGAAGCCCACTTCCACCTAAACAGCATGGTTAACCAGTAGAATTGTCGTTATTGGGCTAATGAAAATCCGCAACAGTTACACGAAAGACCGCTGCACAGCCCAAAAGTAACGGTTTGGTGCGCTGTATCGCAAACTTGCATCATTGGCCCTTACTTCTTCGAAGACGGTAATGGTCGTGATGTTACCGTGAACTCAGAGCGCTACGTCGACATGATCACCAACTTCTTTCTCCCTGAATTACGACGACGACGTGTTCCAATCCGACGTGTGTGGTTCCAGCAGGATGGGGCGACCGCCCACACAGCCCGAGCATCCCTGGACGTTAATCGCCCTCTCTTCCCTGGTCGCCTTATTTCCAGGTTTGGCGATGTTCATTGGCCTCCTCGGTCCCCAGATTTATCCATATGCGATTTTTTCTTATGGGGACACTTCAAGGCTAGAGTATACGCGAACAAGCCCCGAACTCTGGACGAATTGAAGGGCGAAATTCGCGTGGAAGTCGCCCAAGTTGAGAGAGCGATGTTGGAGAGAGTCTACGCGAACTTCCAGGAACGCCTCCAGCACTGCATCAACGATTTCGGCCACCACATGCCTGATGTGATTTTCCAAACTTGACTGTCTCAAATGCTATTTCGCTGTGAACCTGATTCCATCAATAAATTTGTTTTAGAGTAAAAATTAACTATTTTATGATTTTTTTAAAACCGTCCATCCTCTCTGCCGCACCCTGTACATGCAGTATAGTAATTACACGCAACGCGGGCGCAGTGATGATCTTCTGTAATTCTCAAAGTTTTTCGTACTTTATAACTTTGAACATAACCTGTCTTCAGAAATGACAACATATAAATAACCCGTCAGGCACAGCTAATACATGTACTTCATTGGCAGCATATTCAGTGATGATTTTCTCACACAGCAAATATCACTGATCTTATACACATGCAGACCAATACACATAATCATCCAGATGCGATCTTGCTATTCAACCAACTTTCTTCTCAGAGATAACAGCTACAGACACGGACCACTCAGCCTCACAAAACATATGCAACCAATAATACGTGTAGTTTAGTTGAGTGATTCCTCCATAGATGGACGTTCACAGCGATCCTAGTGAGCAAACGTGGAATGACTGTTTACGCCCTAAAAGCCATCTAGTCTGCAAGATGACATCTTATAGGTTTCTTTGATGTTTTATAGGTTTTTTACATAATACCCGTGCGGGTACTTTCCCGAAGCATGGAGAAAACGCATAGTAGTTCCTGTACCTAAAATTAATCAAGATGACTTTT